TTGCCCACAAATCGCAACATAACTCCGATTCCAACAATTTTGCGGCTCTTTTCTCCATTTTGGAGAAACTCATCGAAAGCGACGACAAGTTCGCCACTAAGGCGTCGGCCGCTAAGAAGAAGTCGACGAATTTGGTGATGACTGCCGCAGACAATGACGATGAGTGCGTCGGCGGTGCTGTTGGAGGTGTAGGTGTGGCCGGTGTGGCGAATGTCAACTCCAATCAGACACAGACGGATGAGACGGACGGTTCCAATAAGAGCGTCCAACAGACGAGTGGTGTGGCGTCCGGGCGCTCGCCGTTGACGTCTGCCTCCAATATAGCCATCCCTTTGCATATCCCCGCCAGCAGTGGTGCCATAAGGAAGAAGCCGCGCAATCAGGAAATACTCGAACTCTCGTCCAAAGCCGACAATAGCGACAATTTTGGACATCCGTTGGTCACGGGATCCGAACTCATCCGACCGCTAATGGCAGCTGAGGGCCGCTCCTCAGAGACATCGGTTTCCAACACAACGGTTCCACCGAAGACACCGATTCTGTCGACGCGTCCGCCAACCACTGGCTGGCCATACGAATGTGATAGTGNTTTCCAACACAACGGTTCCACCGAAGACACCGATTCTGTCGACGCGTCCGCCAACCACTGGCTGGCCATACGAATGTGATAGTGATAGCAACGCCTCATCTGACGATCAATTGGCAGAAGCGGATCAGACGGCCTCCGAGTTAGTCGTTTCCGAAGCCGAAGCCATTATTCACACCAATAATAGCGCCAATAATTGCAATATTAATGGCAATTCGTTGAATACAAATAACAATCAATCGGTGAATCCGGTGAGCGCTCAGACATTGGACACAACGCAGAGGTCGTCGACTACTGACGACATAAATAGTGTCGTCACTAATGATACGGCAGTGGAAGAGGAGGACGAAGACAACATTCTGGCCAATGATCTAAATGAGAGCTCAATACGACTTAGTGGGGACGGGGAGCAGGGACTGTGAGGGCTGTGGTTGCAAACCTCCCTCTTATAGAAAATCTCTAATGTTTTTTGTCTATTAATATGAATTTGGTTTTAATTTTTCTATTTAACGTCTTTTCAGTTATTCTTTTAATGTATTTTCCTATCAATTCGTTTGTCACTCTTTTTGTTGTTTTAGTTTTATGTTTAACTGATTTAATAATTTAAAAAATTATATTGTCTTTAATTAATAAATTGATTGCAAAAATAAACCTGATGTTTTTGGACCATTTTTGTCACTTTTAATAATTCCTTTTATATTTAACTCATTGAAAGACAAATTCATTGAAAACTTAAACATCTATTCTTTATGTAAATGAAACACAACATTGTTTTGCTATAAAATCACATTAGGATCACAAGAATTGAACGATTCTGTATTCATCTGTATTCCTATTCCTATTCCTATACTTTTCATGTGGAGAAAGACCATCAAAACGATTGCAATAATAATGAAAACTATTAGCAAAAGTCCAGAATTGCTATTATTGTTGGGTTCAGTAGACGTTGGTTGGATGGGAGGCCCGGTATTTGTGCTTGAAAACGATTCCTTAGCTAAATAATTACACGATTCTTGACCACAATTATTAGCTAAATAATGTATCAATGTTAGTTTTCAATAGATTTGAATCTAAAAAGTTTTTGACAATTTTTGACCGCCTTTATAGTAAACGTCACTAAAGTGTTCACTATTTGTCCCCTTTTATCGCAACTTGTATTGCATTCAATTGAAACCCCATTTCGTTGAAACCGTACTTTTCGTACGAGATTTGACAAAAAATATTTCTAAATTACACTCTAATATAGCGTTACATGTATTGAACGAAGCGATACATTAGACATACAGCACATCGGCGACCATTTCTATGGGAAGCTATGAGTTAGGGTCCAAACGGAGTGTTATATGGATGACAGTGTTTGTGAGCGACTCTTATGTGACGTATAGTTGCAAAGAAAGGATTTATACATTAATGAGACAAATGGCGGACCAATTGATCGGACAATTGATCCTTCATTTCGGGCATCGATTTGTTAGCACTGATTGTGGGCTCACTCGCGCCCAACCACTTCACACCTGATCCACGCATCGGAGTCGAGACACTGGACGCCATGCAGACCATTGAGTACGATCTGAACGTATCCGGAGGTCTAATGCCTGTAAGCTCTGAGACAATCACTTTCCGCCACTTCTTACCACTCATTGAATCAATTGTTTCGATGACTCTATAACTCATAACTGATGCCAATTGTGATCCCTATCTCTTCGGACAGCAAATCAACGCATTGACGGCTCCGCCGACGAGCGACGAGTCGAGCCGTCGCCGGAAACTCAAG